TATTGGGCACAGCTGAGACCTCTGTCATGTCCAAGTTTGGCATCTAAAAAGGATAAAGAAAGTAGGAAGCTTGAGAAGAGAAAATATGATTGATTACAGGATGAACACATACAGGACAGTTACAGGAGCTGTGAGACACATGCTTGTGAAAGAAGAATTGACAAGATAACTGCATAAAGAGCTGATGAAGAGCTCAAGAAAGGTAATGACAGAAAGCCTTTTGTCTCACAAGGACACTCACAGTTTGCAATACATTTGACAACCTTTTTAAATCTCAACAAACACAGAACAACAGCCAATTAGTAGGGGACCAGGTATTAGATCAGATAGGAGGGATCATGTGGGGCAATGGTAACCAGCCAAAGGCCATAAAGCTGACCAAGGGCAGACCTGAGGCATGGACCTATCTCAAGCCCTAAATCTTTTTTCCATAAGTTTCTCAATTAATGTGCACGAAGGTGAAGGGATATAACAAAATTTATTTTTCTTTCTTTTTTGACCACCTTATAGTCAATGATCCATATCCAACAACTAGGTTGAGGCAAGTAGAACCTACCACAACTTTTCATAACGTTATAGCTCCAAAATCATCTTCCTGTTCAAAAAAGGCTGAATTCAGAACAACCACCTACTCCCTTTTACCTGCATGTTTAAATTCAAAAGGACAAAATGTTGAACAAGGAGATGACCTGTGACAGGCTGAGACCATGCAAAAGGATGTGGAATCTCTCCTTCAAGATTATTTTTTCTTCTTTTAAATAAAGCAACTGCATTAATTCTCATCCTGGTAGAGTGATTTAAATATGGCAAAGAGTGGACTCTGAACTATAAACAAAGCTGTGCTGGTGAGCTCAGCATCAAGCATCAAGCCTTTGTGGCTTGACTGAGGGCTCACTTCTTAGTGTTGACTTGAAATTTCAAAGCATGGTGGTTCTAGTTTTCAGCTTCTGAGGTCTCTAAAAGTAAAGTTCCACATAAAATAACTACCCACTCCCATAAACTGGATGAAATTCAGCAAGATAGATTAGACTAGTTCACCTGGAGTACTGCTGTATAAAAACAAAGTAAAAATGTAATCCTGAATGTTTATTATGGGCAGGGCCACAAGGCAAAAATTATGAACAATAGGCTAAGGTAGAAAGAGGAAATTACATCTTTGAAGAGAAGTTCTGGGTTTTGAATTTTAGATGTTGGACTTTTAGATTCTGAATTAGTCCATGATCCTTAGAAAAAAATAACACTTTCATCTTTAGAAAATAATATGGAAGAGAGACAACTGACTTAATAATTGAAAAAAATGCAGAAAAGATTTAGAGGGAAATGTTATAAAGACAACTGAATCATTTCTAAAGAAAGAAGGCATATTGTTTATATACATGCCATACCAAAAAGGGTACAGAGAACAACATTTAAGCATGGGCCTCTAATGCACAGAGGCACCCAGCCCAGGGCCACAGCAGCTGGAGGCCTGCCTCCACATTCAAGGATGCTGCATGTAGGAAATCCTTCCTTCCTGCTAACCTCAAGAAACACAGCTTTTCTGGCATGAATAGTTAACTTACTAGTTTAACCAGGAAAAACCCATTCATGCACGTGAACTGTACTGACAGCCAGGGGCAGATATTTCTCTTGATCTTTAACCCCTTTAATGAATGTCAGATATTGACCAACTATGGGAAGATCCTGACCAATATCTGCATTTAAGGTGTTATAAAGTTCTTCCTTAATACATTTTACAGATTTTTCAAAATGACTTTACTAAAGGTTTGTGCTGTACAAGGACTTTAAGTATGCTATTATACCAAAACCCATACACTAAAGCTGTACAGCTCTGTGCCAATATTGATGTGTCTGTACAATAAGCTTTGACATGGTTTTCTAGGAGATGGTTTTCTAGGAGGGTCAGAAGTTGAGGATTTATGTGACCTTTAAACTGATTAATTGATAGGGGCCTTGTGTAAAAAAACAAAGAGGGGAAATTAAGAGAGAAGTTATTGCTGTTTGCATTATCAAAATGCACTGGCACCCATGACACAAAGGTTCTTAGGATCAACAAGCACGATGAGATCCTCTTGTACCGGTGGCAGTAAAAACTTGTGTGATGACGTCAGTGGGGGATGGTTGGCTACAGGGCTGGGAAGCAAAAGGACAGTTTGAGATAAGTAGAATGGCAGGCTAAGGAGGCGGGCACAGAGGTCTGGACACCAAGACAAGTCAGGTCAGAATGTTACAGGAGAGAGGACCATACACAAGCATGAATGGGGTTTTCAGTTTTTTAGGAAGGGCTCAACAGTTCCAGCAGCAGACTTTCCACTGGTCACAGGACTACAGCATCTACACCAACTGAAGAGGTCCTGAGTTCCAAAGGGGAGTTCCAGAACTCCAAGAAAAAGAAAAAAGAAAAAAAGAATCCAGCTGGCAAGATGTAGTAAAATTGGAATTATCTTTGCCTCTCCTATGCTCATCACAAACCTTTTTTTAAAAATTTTGTTTTTGAGTGGTTCATTTTAAGATCTGAAAGTGAAATAGCCATTAGAAAAAAATAAATAAAAATTAAAATCTCTCTCGAGATTTTCCAAGCTTCATAGAAAATACATATATTCTAGGGAGCAACACTTTAGAGCAATTAATAGACTTTTTAATTGTAGAAGGATATCAGTATGTATGGCCTCTCTTAATGACATTCAAATAACAACGCTATGTAATTACCAAACTGCATTAATGCGGTTCTCATAGGGTGCCACAAAAACCCTGCACAGTCATCAAGGGAGTAGAGAGTAGGAACAGCCCAGCCAGAAATATGCATTGGAACTTAATCACTGTAATTTAGATTTTGTCACCGAGTCCCAGGTACAAGCTTTTATGCACTGTCAAGAGATCTCCACATTAATTGCTGTTCCTGTCTTCTGAGGACACAGACACTCTAATTTGCTATGATTTTCATGTCTCTAGCCATGTTCGTTTGGTAGCTAAGTCCCCTTTTCCTCCAGAAAAAGAGGGCTGTTGAAGCTCTGATTACCCAGCTCACTCTGCCAAGATCAACAGGCTGATGTTACAAAGCATCCCTGTTTACCAGAGTCTAGAAACAAATGTGACTCAGCCCTCCGGTGGGTGGGAAGTCCTGCAACCTTCCCTGAAAGGCCATATTCTTCTCTTTAGTAAGTATGACTTTCAATAGAAGAGTTGTTTCTAAGTGATGATTTCAATGATTCTGCATGGCCGATTTGAAGCAGAAAATTTAGATAATCCTTTGAGGCCTTTGAGCAGCTCCGGTCAGCACATTTGGACAATGAAAACCCAGGTGCCTACATTTTTGGAGGGCTCTATTGATCTCCTGGATTTGTCAGATAATAGCACTGTTTCACGTTTTGTGTTTTGGGGACAGGGGTCCAGTTTTCCAACCTTCCTCTCAGTGATGCCAGTCCTGACAAATTCTCTGTGACTTTCTGCCGCAAACACATTAGGCCAGAGAGAGCTCTTCAAGTGGAATACCATTCTTAAGATAAGGTACCTTTCAAATTGAGGCACTGAAAACCAGAGAAATAGGAGTCCCAGCTAAATCTAGTTTCTAGGTTAGAAACTACAGAGAAACCATTCTGATTTGGAAACTGTCTAAGTACATAGTCCCTAGTTAATGAGACGGTGGAACATGCAAAAGCAGCCAGTGAGTGTGGTAGCTCCATGCCATGTGATTCTGTCTGTGCTCCTGTGGTATCTGAGGCCCAGCTCTTTGTTCTACTCTCTCAAACATTTGAGCCAAACACTCTATTTTCTGAATCATGGAAGGGTAGAGGGGTGCTGGGTAGTCACAATATGGGAACACTTTCCCAAGCTCCTTTTCACTTGGGGCCACACAGTTTGCAGACCTAATGATTATTTTTAACTCTGGAATGTGGGAGTGGTAAACAGAAATAAACCTTGTAAAGCACTTCCTTGGGCTTGAAATCTTAAAAGAAGAGAAGCTTAAAAATGTTATCAGTAAGAATACAGACAAAAAACAAAAACAAAAACAAATCGAATATTTAACTGACCAAGTTAAAACCTAATTAAGGACAGGATGTCTTCTCTCATTAAGGCTACCTGTGGTTTACTGACAGATTATCTACCTGACTTCCCACTTGAAAAGTAAAAAGCTAAATTAAGTTTCTCTCCTTTTTTCCCTGTAAGGCATAATAACAAAAGAGACTGACAAGACAGCAAGATTAGATAAACACTGTCACACAAGTTGATTAGCAACTGACAACAACGAGAGGTAAGAGGAGAAATCTCCATAGAGATTAGGAGACCCAGAGACAGTAAAGGAGGGCTCATCCCTGAGAGGAAGCATCCCATCAGGCTTCGGATTTTAGAGGAAATGAAAACCAGCATTTATTTTACTTAGGGGAGCAATTGCCAAGTATGCAGGAGAATGTGTATTTTTCTGTCCTAAAAGGTAGATGGGATGTGTCTAATTTTAGCTACCTTGTTCTGTTGGACACCTCCCACCCTCAACACATCACTGTCAGGAGCCAATTACTGCAAAAAATTACCATGCAAATGTCAGGTAAGTGATGTTCTCAGAGAGAGAGGCTGTGGAAAGGATGTGCTCAGCATTGTGAAAATGCAGTTACTCTAAGGAGGGACCCCTTTATTTTTAAAAATACAGCCAAGATTTAAAAAGAAATCCTCAAAAGACTGTCCCTGCCTCTATTCTCTATCACTAGCTGAAATCAAAATGGGCTGCAGTTGGGGAAATTAAAAATAAGTAAAATCCAACTTTAAACAGAATAATTCTGCAAATGTTTAACATAATACATTAGGATTATAGGACTAGTGCATTTTGCTAGCAAACAAATGACATAAAATATCCAGAAATACAGTATGTGTGTGTGTGATGTATATTTATACCATATCCACTGTCTCTGCATCTGAGAGCCTCAGTGCATACACATTATCCTGTATACACTGGGATGAGGCTAGGAAACCAGGCGAGGCTGGGAGAAGCAGCAGAGGGCAATTACCTTGTGTGGGAAGCAGCGTCGTTTATACTGAAGCTGCTGTTCTCCCTTGTCAGAGGGCTCGAGCCACCTTGGCCCTTGCTGTGGATATCCAGGCTCAGGGAGGACTCTGCCTTCCGGTCCATGCCGTGGCTCTCTGTCTCTAACGTTCGATCTGCCATGGAGAGCACTTCGCTGGAGCTATGCCACAGGGGTGCCACTTTCTCCTTGCCTGGCCCTGAGCGAGGAGACGAGGTGGCCCCCAGAGAGGCTGTGCTGCCGTGGCTGGGGCCGTAGGAGGTGGTGTCGATGCCACTGTCAGCGGAGGTGCCCTGCAGATAGTTATAGCTGTTGAGTTCGGATTCCGTGCGGTCCCCATCGTACCACTTCTCGTCACTGTGGGCACTGGATGCATTGCTGGAGAGGGTATTGCTACTGGAGTGGCTCGAGTAGTGACTATCAGACTGCAAGGGAAGCATGATTTACTTAAGTGCATGGTTTGACTTCCTGAACACCCAGAAGAAAACAACAGGGACACTCCAGGACTTAAGTTCCAGGTGCAGAGTTCTAAAGGCATTAAAGTTCCAGGAATAACAGGTCAAAGTAAGATAAGAGGTGCCTGGAAAAACCTCTGCGACTCATGCCCATTCAGTGGTGCCTACGACAGAGAGTGCAGGAAACTTTTTTTTTTTTTTTAAATACTCCATTTTTCATTATTTGGCTCATACTGCAATATCAATAGTATCAAGGATCATTTTAATCAGGAAAAAAATCTAAATTGTCATTGAAGTCTGTATATCTTAAAATAGAAAGGAAATGACATTTCCAAAGAGCTTACAATTAGAAAGGATGCTTAATTCTAAAAGCCATACTGCTCAAAGTGGATAGAAGGCTGAATATGAGAAATGTTAAGTTTGAAGACTCTCCTTTTCCTTCCCCAATTAATATCTACTTGGGAGACAGTTTTCAAGGAGTGCTTAGAGGTTAAATTTACACAGAGGTACGAGGATAATTCAATGGGGAAAAAAAGTCTTATCAAAAACTTGTGTGAGACAACTGGATATTCACATGCAAAAATGAATGAAGTCAGATCTGTAATATATAGAAAAATAAACTTGAAAAGAACCAGAGATTTAAATGTAATAACCAAAACTATAAAACTCTTAGAAGAAAACCCAAGTATAAGCCTTTGTGACCTTGGGTTATATAATGGTTTCTTAGATATGACACTGAAAGCATAATAAAAGAAAAAAAAGACCAGATGAATTGGACCTTATCAAAATTAAAAACTTTTGTACTTCAAATTACCTGATTAGAAAATGGTCAAAGATTAAAACAGACATTTCTTCAAAGAATATACACAAATATTCAATGAGCACATTGAATGATGCTCAGTATCAGTCGTTAGGGAAATGCAAATCAAAACCACAGTGAGATACCACACTACACAACCTAGAACGGCTGTAAGCAAAATGGCACACAAAAACAAAGGCCACGGTTGTGGGGAATGTACAATGGGCAGTTGCTGTGGAAACACATGCAACTCTACTCTTGGTATATACTCAACAGACATCAAACGGATGTCCACACAAAAACTTGAACATGAATGTTTACAGAAGCATCAAATGTAAGAGTCAAGAAGTAGAAACAACCCCAATGACCATGAGCTGATCAACGGATATAAAAAATGGAATATCCATACAATAGAACATTATTCAGTCACAAAAAGGAATGAATTATGGATTCATGTTACTATATGGATGAATCTTAAAAACATTATGTTCAGTGAAAGAAACTAGACACAAAAGGCCTCATGTTACATGATTTCATTTACGTGAAATGTCTAGAACAGGCAATTCACTGAGAAAGAAAGATGAGTAGTTGCCTAGGTTATTGGAAGGGATGGGAAGAGCTAGAGGTAATTGCTGAAGGATATGTAGCAGGGGGGTTCAGTGGTAGTGAAAATATTCTGAAATTAGATCATGGTGCTGACTGCACAATTCTGAATATACTAAAACCCACTAAATTGTATGCTAAATGGCTGAATGTTATGGTATGTACGTAAATTATGTCTCAATAAGAAATGTGTACAGAACCCTTTTTATACAGTGGCTCAGTTGTTTAGGAAGAACATTTTTTGGAGTTTACCAAAGAAATATTATTTCAAAAAATAGTTGAATGAAACAATATTTTAAGTTGGAGGCAGGGAGCCCAGATACTTGCTAAAGATAAAAGAGGAGAGAAGGAATGTGCATGTGTCTCTTTTGGTGGAGGAAGAAGCATGTTCTTTATGGGCCCAGGCCAGGGGCAAGAGGATGTATCAGTTTTACCTCAAAGTGAAACAGCTCTTCCCCTTAAAAAAGAATAATCCCAATTACTTTTTGCTGTAACTGTAGTTTTTCTCAGTAACAACTTAGAAAGTGTGCTTTGAAGCCTTCATTTACTTTTAATAAGGCAGAATTTCTTCAGCTTTGTTCATGTACAGTGAATCTGGAGCCCCTAGGCATGACTGGCATTGAGTCCTTTAAATATCACTGGTTGGAACTGAGATGGACTGAGTGCAAAGTAATATGAAGGTTTCTAGAGAGATACAATGTGAACTACAAATGTAATTAAAAATTACATTTAAAATTACATCTAGTAGCCAAAAAGTAAAAAAGAAACAGGTGAAATTAACTTTAGTAACATTTTTACCTAACCCAATCTGTCCAAAATGTTATTTAGTATGTAATCAATATAAAAATTGCTAAGAAATGAGGGAAATTCACAAATCAATTGGGATAACCTATTATTTACAAGTATATCTGTGGCAACAGTACTTTTCCTCAGTAAATCTCTCTTTACAGAGCAAAATGTAGAGTGTGTGCTCTTTTGTTTTTTTTAGCTTCAATATTCATCTCTCAGGACAAAACTTTTATGAGATTTCTCCTTTTTATAAGTCTTCTGAGCATCTTACCAATCAGTGAGTATGAAATGGAGTATTTGCCCATCAAATGACAAGAATATAAACACAAATACCAGCAAAGAGAGAGACCAAGGAAATCAACTCCATTGCACAATGGTCACCTCGTATTATAGTACCTATAAGCGATAAGGAACTGTGTGTAGTTGTGGAAGACAAAAGAAGCAGTAGGGTAATTTTAAGGGAAGCTGTCTGCCCCCTTGCTCTAGTAGGATCCCATGCTTGCAACTGTATAAACAAACAGAATCTCTTTCTAACACAGTTCTATTCCTAACACTTCAGGATTTAGGATTGTGAGTGAGCCAGGCAACCTCCCTTACAGACCTGTGGGGATGCAGGGGCATACCAATGAGACTGCAATTTACCTCAATTGAAGGAAGCCACTTTAGGACCATGGCAACAGAAATTCCAAGGCTATGGTAGCAAACATTCGCTATCAGTGCAAGTCATTAGACAAAATTGTTTCCCCCACTAGGCTGACTTCCTCTTTGACCATACTGCAGGGCAAGAATAGAATGAACTGGCCCCATTTCTGCACTGCAAGAAAGTAGTTGCTTGGAATCAATTGTTAAGTTTGCAGTTAACTTACATGCCCTTGTTTGTTTGGAGACAAATGAACCACTGGATCCTGCCGCATTAATCTCCCACTGGGGCTCTCTCGGAAAGCTGGCAGTACCTTTGATACTGCTGGGAGATGACATGTAGGCTCTGGAATACAGTACAGGCCATTATGGTGTGGGTACTAAACAGATACAAACACATGTTGACAAATGGAGACGGCTTGCCATTGCATCTTTCAGTTCACTGACCAGCCAACTCTGATTTCAACAGTAAGCTTGTTAAGAGTCTACACAATAGACAGCATGTCAGAAACTAGGTGGCTGATGGATAAAGCTTGCAGCTGGTGACAACGTGTCACGTCATACACATTAGCATAGCCAAGTACCACCAAACCAAAGGCCATGAACAATGCAGCAAAGTTCGAAATCAACTTTTGGTTTGGGGAGAAGTTTAGAATATATGGAGTAAATTTATGAAATTCATTCATTGCAAAGTGTAGCTAACCTAGCTCAGTCTACATTACCTAGACAGGCATGGATGCAATCACGTGTTACTTACCATGACACTTTGGAAATATTTTACCTGTATATTCATGCTGCTCGAGGACAAAAGAATTGAAATCCTGAGGTCCTCTATAACTGTAAGCTAAGCACAACAGAAAAGACACACAGCAACTAGTTTACTTAAAACAATTGCTTCCTTTTGGACTCCAAGCTGGTGTTTAAGATGGGGCTCCAAAAGAGAGAGATAAATGATTTATCCTCTAACACACCTACAGCTAAGAGCAAGAGCTCACAACTTCTTGAAACACCCCTCCTAAATGTAGAGAATCAGGCAGACTCCTACTTAGATGTGACTCTCATCTATCTCCAAGGGCAGAGAGGCAGAAAAACAAACTTGGAGGGGATGAGAGAGCCAATTAAGTAGCTATGCTCTTGCCTGCACTGTTAGTAGGTACCAGTTTACAACACACTAATACACAGATAAGTGGGCCTGCCTAATGTTAGGATCTCCTAAACATTCACCATCAGTGCAAGTCATTAGACAAAATTGTTTCTTCAAATAGAGTATAGAAAGGTCAGCCCTTTATACATTTGATATCATGTGCTAAGCAATGAAAAAGTAAAAGCATTTTTCTTGAATTCTCCCCAGTTATGGCTTATATGAGCTAAGCCCTAGATTCTTTCTGATATGCCAATTAGGAAAGGTTAAGTTATTCTCCTGGAAGACAGGGCTACCAAAAACTATAAACATTTATTTATTTAAATAATGTTATTGTATTTTTTAATACCTGTATTTTATTTATTTAGTTTTATGTGGTGCTGAGGATCGAACCCAGGGCCTCACACATGCTAGGCAAGTGTTCTACCATGGAGCTATAACCACAGCCCCTAAGCATTTATTTTGACATTTTATTCAGCCTTGGATTTTGAGTAGAGAAAGGCCACCACTTATGAAAAAGAGTTATTTATTGGGTTCTGCTGGTATCCTATTATTTAAAAAACAAAAAGAACAAGGTATATCTAACTTAAAGGATGAACAGAAGTGTTAGAAAGATCCATATTCATTTTAGAGTTTTATCTACTTAGAGTGGATTGCCACTAAACTAAAGTGGATGCAAAGAAAGATGACTAGATGGAGGTGTGAGCGAGACCGGTGTGGGTCTAGGATGAACCTTATAATTACCCTTTGCAGTCCCAGGACACCTTCTCATTCCCTGTGAGAAATCCCGTGAGTGGGAAGTAGGACACTACACTGCAGAGGGCCTGCTGGCAGCCTTGTTGAAAGCCTGCACTAGGAGCCAAAAAGAAGCCGCCACAGTCATGCTGGAGAAGGGGTCCTTTCAAATACGCCGTTACCATCTCAACAGTATCAAAACATAAGGGATTAAAAACATTCTGTCAAGAGCAGAGAGGCAGATCAAAATATGCTCAGGTTTTGTGTTGGGGTGGGTGGGAAAAGAGTGGGGATGACAGATGGCTTCAATAACAAGGCACTGAAGTTACTGGAACAAAGCAAATCTTCAGAACCTAAGAATTACATTTCCTCAATTCCTGTCTTAGCTGAGTACATCTCCATTCCCTCTGTTCAGGATTAGCACATTTACTTGGGCACAGGCATTAAAATAGGACACAACCAAGAATCAGCAAAGAAGATAAATAGTTAGGTCTTTGCCTTAAAAATGTATCTTTTTAGCCATGTGCGGTAGAGCATACTGTGAGCCCAGCTATTCAGGAGGCTGAGGCAGGAGGATGGCAAGTTTGAGGCTACCTGGGCAACTTAATGAGGCCCAGTCTCAAAATTAAAAAAAGCTGGGGATGGGGCCCACAGAACACTCCTGGGTTTCATCCTCAGTACAGTAGCCCATCCCCTGCCCCCACCTTTTTCAATCCTTAAATTCATTCCTATCTTTTTATCTCATAGTGATAGTAAAGCTTTTAGGCATAAGATAAAGGAGGGGAAAAACCCTAACTTTAGATCCAAGTCCTTTATGTATCATCTGTATTGAACCCAACCCTCTGATATTACTTAGTTGAAACTTGATCTTATTTCATGGTAAAATTTTATTGTGTCAACTAGCCTCATGGTGTCATTATAGACTCCCCCTCCACCCCATGTATAGAGAGTGAGCACCTGAAATCCAAAGGAGAGCTCACTAAGGCAAATCTTTTCCATCCAGCTGTTTTATACTGCTAAGACATTTCCTTAGCTGACAGCTTAATAGCAGAGTGGAAAGAATTAAAAGAAATGCACATAATGGAGGAAAGAGCCTCTAACCAAGCTACAGATGTGGCTAAATCATTATGTTTCTTCCCACTCTGTACATGGTTGGTTTGTGTTTTAACTCAACATTAAGAAGACCAAGGAATCTCTTAAGGCACTGGGCAAAAACAAATGAGGGAGGAAGGCACTTAGGATCCAAGTGGTTTGTTAGGCTGGCCTTTTAATCTTGGTGCCAAACATAATTCTTGAGGCCTTTCTATGTCTAAATTTGGGCTCATTTAGAATTCCCTGACTTTTCTCTCAGGTCTTACTCATTGCTCTCACTTGTACATAGACACTTTATCCTAATGCACGTTAACTAGGGCTATCTTTTATAAAACAATGCTTTGATAACATCCTTAAGAGGTGGTCAAAGTGAACTTATCAAAAAAACACTTGCTTTTTATGTAAAAATCAATTACTTACCCATCTGGTCAGCAATGCTATCCTCACTTCTTTGCCAGCTGGGTGTGGACTTTCCGCTGCCACCAAGATCTGACTGGGTGTTTTGCCTGTCAATGGAGGCTGGGGATCTGCGGCTCACTCCAAACCTGTGGCGATTCCCCCGAACAAAGGCAAAGACATTATCAGACTTCATTACAAGAGGAAGATAGTCCTGTGTGTAATGAACTTAAATCTGATGACAGGTATTACCAGCTTGGGCTTACATGCCTGTACATGTACATGTGCCTTGTGCATGTGTAAATGGGTGTACAGATGTGCATATTGTGTTCAATATACATGACTGTGCTCAGAAAGGTATGCATGCTGTCAATATTAACTGTTAACAAGGGCAGGAGCCATTCTCACTGAGATAACCTGATGTAGAGTAAGAAACCAGAATCTTCTGATCCTCCTATAGCCAAGCTCAGGTGGTCATTCACAGCCCAAGGAAAAATTTCACAATGTAAATGTCTTATGCATATCTTTCAAATGGTATATTCTGGAGGTTAGTTTTCTCTTAACTCAGTTATCTGCTAAATCAGTAAGTCATTCATTCTTGGAACAAGTATTTTCTGAGTACTTGCTCTGTGGTCTGAAAGATAAAGCTATCACTTATGTAGAAACTACTTTCAAAATGTATAAATGTTAAACTACCTTTGGGAGGGGCAATTTGGAAGTAGGTAAGCTGGCATGTATAAAGATAACTGTTTATTTCTGGAAAGAAATTTAGCTATTTAGTAAGCCAATTTTATTTTCCCTTGTGGAAAATAATAATAATATATGCTTAATTAAAGTATATGCTTTGTTGAGTAATACACATCAGCAAAGTAATTACTCAGTCCAGAATAAAGGCCAGAGTATAGAATTCAAACATTCATATGGAATTTTTCCGATTTGATTTTATGTGTGGTTACTAGTGAACTTCTGACTAACCTATACAACAAAGGAAGCAACAGGGCCCACATCAATTAATGCATATTTTGGTGTCTTACTTGGAATCAACTGATAAATGGATAAGCAGGACCATCAGGTGGTATATTGGAAAAAGCAGGAGATTAGGAGGAGTGGGAAGACTGCAGCCAGGTTTCAAAGGACACACCCGACACACCCATTGGGACAGAACAGTCACTGAACTTTTGTCTGTTTCTTTATGTGCAACATGGCAATTCCACTACAGAGCTCCAAGGAGGAAAAAAAAATCTATATAAAGCATTTACAAAATATAGAAGGCCATAAAAATATTTACTTTAGTAATGTATTTATTATATCATCTCCCTACTTGCTTGGGCATAAATACTACTCACTTACAAACCCAATCACAAAGTTCACTAAGTGAAATTATCTTACATATGAATGTAGCCATTATTAAAACCAAAAACCTTGATTTATGGAAACTTTGGTCAAAGTGGAAAAAAAAAAGAAAAAAGAGAAGGACTCACAATTAAGGTTCTGCTATCTCTTCTCTTAGTAGAATTATGGATTCTAATTTTGCTTTTACTTTTTTGGTAGCAATAGAACCTAAAGATAATTTTTTTAAGTCTCTGAATTTAAAGTTGAATACTTTTCTACTTGCTTTTAAATAAATGTCAAGGAAAGGCTGTCTTCAACCTTCACCCTGTAAAATAATTCACCTGGTGAACTTCAATTCTCTCACACATGCTCCACTTGGGCATGAGCCAGGGAATTAGGGATATAAAGATCTTGTCTTTGAGATGTGCAGACAAAACTTGTTCTGAGTTTTAAACTGTGTCTCTTTTTGAAGAGTTTAATAGTGCCTCTAAGGAGCACTAGTAGCTCAAGGATCAGAGTTAGATTTGAAAGAGGTTGAATGCAATTCTTTGGCTGATAAAGACTCACTGGCCCCCAGCTCCAAAATGCCTTCCTCACAAAAGGCTGGAACCACCTTCTCTGCAGCTTTCTTCTGCTGGTCTCAGTGGCCCTGTCAGCCAAGCCTAACCCCTCCTCTGAGGTGCTAGAAGAACGTTATGTGGAGCCCTCAGCTCAGCAGTTCACCTTCAGCTTGCACATCCTCACCATGCTGCTTGCCCCAGGTTCCCAGCTCCTCTCTGACCTAGGGTGTCCCTCTGGCCTTGTCTTGCCTTCTCAGTACTTCTCAAAGCCTGTGATCCAAAAGTAAATATCCAAGGAGGGTAGAACAGGCTCCATGTCTTTTAAACAGTGTTGCTTTATCATTACCTTCACTGCTCATCCCGAGTTGTCTAGGTGTCATTTCTTTCTCCCTCATAAACTACACCTCACCTAATTTGGATATTTTCACTTTTCTTGAGTCAGGGAATGGGCAGGCACACACCATGCAGATGCAGGACCAATTGAAGTGGAGGGAAGATACCACAGCAGCATATGGTTTATGGACAACCACTGTGTAGTGATGACTGTTATGATGCAAGTTGAACATTAAGGACTCTGAAGCAGAGTACATACACTCCAGCTTCACTGTCAACTTGAACACATTTATTTTTACTGGGGTAAGTTGTAGAGTAGATGGTAAGGGTGACTTTTGGACCAAACCTACCCCGTGAGCAATTCATGTGAATGACTGGATGGTGAACCACTGTCTTTTACCTCCCTGATACAGACAAAAATTGCTTGGGATCTAGGAAAAACACTAACATTATTTCCTATATCACTCCAGGTAAAGAAGACATTATATAGCATACTCAACAATGCCAGGAGAACTCACAAACAGCGGGAAAGCCCTTAATGCCATCTACGGCAGAGTTCAACTATCAAATACCCAGTTGAATAATTATTACCTCATTAACAGAAATTTGAGCAGCTGGGCCTTAGAATCATAATTTTAACATTAAGACTCACCAAAACATTAGTGTTTCAATTTGGGTTTTTGGTATACACTTAAAGTATATCAGAGATAGAAAAACATTTATTTATTTATTTATTTATTTTGCTAAAAACTCATTTACATTTTAGTGCTGTACTAATACTAAAGTTGTGGTGAATTCTTATTTTGGAAGACAAACCAGGCCATTTAAAATCTAATTAAAACAGGAAATAATTAGTTGGGTTTGTAGTGTGGTACAATAATATGTAATTCATAAACTTCATGAATAAAGGCTGAATTTTTTCCTAATTGTCACTGAAGCAATTAAAATAAGAAATGCACATTTTGGGCAGGCCTCTAAGGGAGTCCTAGGGGAGACAGGAATGAGGAAAGCATGTTTTATAGTGGTTTTATTACCTACTTTCTTCTACCATTAACATTTAGCAACAACAAAATCACACCTAGTGGCTGTAAAAACCAACAAAATACTATACAGAGGAAATATCCATTATGAGGGTATTATTAGTAAGCATGCTTATTTTGTGACACAGTGATATCTCAAGAAAGTAACCAAGTAGTGTGCACATTTGTTAAAGGTATATACATTTATTTGGGGGAAATATGGAATAGAAATAGGAGTTTTTATGAATACTTCACATTTAATTTTCAAATGGTTCAAGTTCATTCTCAAATTCCCCAGAGAGCAACACCAGCAGGAAGTCTTTGAAGGTTCTTTCACTCTTCCTCTGGGTGAAGGCAGCCTGTGTGTGCCTTGCACTGTTCTGCTAATTACTTCCTAGCGTCAGATATTCTAATCCTGTTTCCTCTTATGGTGGCCTCTAAAATCACACATAATTCACTTTTTACTGTGTGTGTGTGTGTGTATGTGTGTGTTTTGCTGGGGATTGAACCCAGGGCTTTGCAAATATAGCAAGAGCTACATTTCCAGGCTACTTTGTAAATTTTATCCAAAGCAAATAGTTACTTTGGGATGGGCATTTAGTATTTTCAAGAAAGATTTTAAAAAACCAACAAAACACAGAAGACTTAAAAGAAGAAGAAATAATTTTAAGCTCTGGATGTTACTATCATTTTTCCTACATCAACAGCAATACAAGCTCCAAGGCAAGTAGAATTCTCCTGAGTTCCCGTTGGAGGAAACACGATGTGACAAAATCCTTCCTGTGACACTAAACAACGTATGTCATAGAGAAATGTATGCAACTTGATTTCTCTGCCACTGAGGACTTCATGGAGAGTAGAGAATGATAAATTTCTTAAGTGATTTTAACCAGTCATGAAAACATTTTCCTATCTGGAATGTTAGCTATATTTTCACTGTTGATGTAAATTGATCAGGGCTGGCTGAATAAAAATAATTTTACATGTGGGATACAAATGAAAGACAGTGATGTTGACCCCAACCATGTACAAGGGGACAAATGGCATACCTACCCTTCGGGCATGGATTTTTGTCTGTAAGTGCCCCCCCCAGAGCCAGGCTCGCTGGATGAAGACAGGTTGCTAGGGGAGTTACGACACTGGGATCTTGCTAAAGCCATGGATGAGACTGTCACATAGATGTCTGAACCAGGAGACAACCTGCATGTGCAAACCAAAAATATGAAGTCAACAATTCAAAGGGGAAAATCCCAAGGCAACACATGATGGATAATATCATACAAATGCAACAAAGGCAGCGCTTCATGGAGATAGTGAAAATGAAGCCAGCTGGAAGCCTACAAAAGAAGCTTCCCCATAAAACTACTCCCTAAGGGAACAGCTGGAAAACCGCCTTGAAGGGGTGGGGTATGTCAAAAAATAACAGGAGAAAAAAGGCAGCGGAAAAACATGTATGCTTCCAAACGCTGCCAGAATTAAGTTGGTTGAATTGCTAATGCAGTCTCATAGTATGGCAGGGCAGAGGATAATTGAACCCAAGTGACGTTAACACAGCAATTAATTCCAATTTCTCACACTAGTCCTCCCAGAGTATATGACTACAGCGAGACCAGCACATTCTTTGTATGTTTCTTTGTTTTCCAATGTTATTACTCGAAGTCTGGAGTCAATATTCAGACTTAGCTACTTAGTATTTCTAATTTTCATTGACAGTAACATCACCAGTATAAGAACCTCAGTGTCTAGGATTGCAGTTGTTGAATTATTTAGAATTACTGAATTTATATCATTTCACAGTAAAGATGTACTGTATCCTGGCCGTAATAAATCTTTTCTAAAATTTTGGATCCCTCATCTGCAGAGGGGCTGTGGAGGTAGAAGCTGGAGCTTTGTAATTAGACAGACAGATTTTCTCCCTCTACCTTCTCTACTGTGTAGCAGGCAACGGGGCAATGCAGGGATAGCAATAAGTGATGCTGACAACTGTGACCAGGTATAAACTCAACCTTGATAACAGCAGGATTTTATTCTGAATGCAAATCCTGGCCCAAATCTCAACTCTTATAACAGGGCAGGTCAAGTCCATTCAATAGCTGAGGAAACAGAATCTAAGTTACTTGTTTAAGGTCACAATAAGCCAGGCTTTTTGATTCTCAAACTGTTATATTTTATGCCAAACTATTGCTATCCCTTAGAGAAGGTTGGTTTCCTTTCCTTCTTTCCTTCCTTCTTCTTCCTTTTTTTCTGTACTGAGGATTGAACCCAATGACACTTTACCACTGAGTTATATCCCTGGTCCTTCGAAAACATTTTTTTTGTTTGTTTGTTTGTTTGAGACAGGGTCTCACTAAATTGCTTGGGGCCTTGCTAAATTGCTGAGGCTGGCCTTCAACTTGCGATCCTTCTGCCTCAGCTCATGAGTCACGGGGATTATAGGTATGTCCCACTATGCCTGGCACCCTTTTCCTAGTAATATGGTTGTCGGTGGGTCTGCACTGGCACGTGACTTTGCACATAACATGAACTTAAACTCAAGACAGTCTGGGAGCCTTGGGACAGAACCTGGTTCACAGGAACAGGCCTTTCCTACAGTGAGCCTAGGAGCATCTGTAGCAGGGGAGGATAGGGTTTCAGGCATAGGAAGCTTACAGATGGAATAATGGAATCACATCCAGAAACTTTTCTAATAGATAATAAGATTAAATTAAAAAATAAAATTGAACTCCCAAGCTCCTCTATGCCCAAGAGGCAAATCTGAGTTGAGAGCCAGAGTTCTCCCTCACTGATACCTAGACATCTCCAAGGAACACCTCCACCAGCAATTCAAATTAAACCTCTTAAAAGCTAACTGGTTTGCTCCATTCCCCCAGGCCCCAATATCCTAATGCCCCAAGCCCATCCCTCCTATGCTGTTATCTCAAGCTAAACATCTTGAAGTCATTTGTCCTTCTCACCCCATCTTTCAGAGTCAGTAGACCTTATCAAGTTCAATAACTATTTACTGAACACAAACTATTTCCCAGACACCCTGGGTGCTGGTCTTAAAAACACAAAGAATAGAGATCCACCTACACTGATGTGCATGGGACCCAGGCTCACAGTAGGCCCAGGTCCATCCCGCCACTGACAGACACCAGCTGGAGCTCAGGCTCCAGCACAGGACCACCCACACCGACATACATAGGATCCAGGCCCAGGGTAGGTCCGAGTTTGCCACCCCTTACCCCCCACCTCCCACCTGGGAGCCCAAGCCTAACCCACTTCCATCTTGGGAAATAGCAGGTCACCATAGCCTATCCCATGTAATGGCCCCTACCCTTTTGACAACAGATAGTGCCTAGAAGTAGCTGCATCTCAGAGCAGGCATCCCAAAGACAGTGTAAAGCCCACCCTTTCAGCCCTATCTCTGTAAGACTTTGCATTCATCTTGGGGCACCTCCACTACTATGAGTTACCTTGGCTACTGTCACCACCACCTTTAGTTGAAGGACACCAGCAGAGTCTGGAAGCCCAACATCAAGGTGAGGTACAGATAATCTGCACACATACTACAAGATTATAGAGTAGACACTGTAATGTCTCAGATCCACACTGCAAGAAAGGAAGACACACAGACAACATGAAAAAACAAGGGAGGAAAGTACCCCCAAACAAGCCAGGATACTACAATAACAGAACCCACAGACAGTGAAGCTTATGAGATGTCAGAGAGCGAGTTCGGAAGGTTCATAATAATAACGACCTGTGAATTAAAGAATGACCTAAATGAGCAAATGCAAGCAAAAATTGATCACTCCGACAAAGATAAGAGAGCAAATACAGGCAGCAAAAGATTACTTCAAGAAAGAAAGACTCTGAAAAAAAAAAGAATAGTCAGAAATCCTTGAAATGAAGGAAACAATAAACCAAATAAAAAACTCAATAGAAAGCATAACCAACAGACTAGATCACTTGGAAGAAAGAATGTCAGATAATGAAGACAAAGTATACAATCTGGAAAATAAAGTTGATCACACAGTGAAGATAGTAAGAAACCATGAACAGAACATCCAAGAATTATGGGACAGCATCAAAAGACCAAATCTAAGCATTATTGGGACAGAGGAAGGCAAAGAGTTTCAAACCAAAGGAATGCACAATCTCTTCAATGAGATAATATCAGAAAATTTCCCAAGCATGAAGAATGATTTGGAAAAACAAATACAGCTTACAGGACACCAAATGTACAAAATTACAACAGATCTACACCAAAGCACATTATAATGAAAATGCCTAGCATACAGAAAAAGGAGAGAATATTAAAAGCCACAAGAGAGAGGAATCAGATCAGGTATAGGAGGAGACCAATTCGTATCTCTGCAGATTTTTCAACCCAGACCCTCAAAGCCAGGAGAAGATCATGGAACAACATATACCAAGCTCTGAAAGAAAATGGATGCCAATCAAGAATCTTATATCCAGAAAAATTAAGCTTTAGATTTGATGATGAAATAAAAACCTTCCATGATAAACAGAAGTTATAAGAATTTACAACTAGAAAGCCTGCACTATAGAACATCCTTGGCAAAATATTCTATGAAGAGGAAATGAAAAACAATGATAAAAGTTAGCAAAGGGAGGTATCACACTAAAGGGAAAAACTAATCAGAGGGAAATCAAGTCAAGTTAAACACCAAAAATAAACAAAAATGGCTGCAAACACAAATCATGTCTCAATAATAACCCTGAATGTTAAACTCACAAGTCAAAAGACATACACTAGTAGATTGGATCTAAAAAAAGAAAAGACCCAACGATATGCTGTCTCCAAGAGACTCATGTCATACGAAAAGACATCCACAGACTGAAGGTTAAGGGTTGGGAAAAATCATACCACTCACATGGACTGCGGAAGCAAGCAGGGGTTTTTATCCTTATATCAAATAAAGTAGACTTAAAGCTAAAGTTAATCAAAAGGGATAAAGAAGGACACTATATACTGCTCAAGGGAACCATACACCAACAAGACTTAACAATTATAAACATATATGTCCAAACAAGAGAGTATCTAGGTTCATCAAACTCTTCTCAAGTTCAAGAGTCAAATAGACCATAACACAATAATTTTGAGTGACTTTAAACAGCTCTTTCTCCACTGGATATATCTTCCAAACAAAAGCTGAACAAAGAAACTATAGAACTCAATAATATAATCAATAACTTATAATTAACTGACATATATAGGATACTTCATCCTTCAATGAGCGTTACACTTTCTTCTCAGCAGCATAGAGAACTTTCTCTAAAACAGACCATATATAAAAAAGTAGAGATACTACCCTTCATTCTATCTGATCATAATGGAATGAAATCAATGATAAAATAAGAAATAAAGGCTATTCCAACACCTGGAAACTAAGTAATATGCAAACTTCATTCAACATATGGAAATCAATAAATGAAATTCATCACATCAATAGATGTAAAGATAAGAATCATATGATCATTTCAATAGATGCAGAAAAAGCATTTGACAAAATGCAGCACCCCTTCATGTTCAAAACACTAGAAAAATTAGCAATAACAGGAACATATCTCAACATCATAAAGGCTATCTATGCTAAGCCCCAGACCAACATCATTCTAAATGGAGAAAAATTGAAGGCATTCCCTCTAAAAACTGTAACAAGACAGGGATGCCCTCTTTCAACACTTCTATTTAACATAGTTCTTGAAACACTGGCCTGAGCAATTAGATGAAAGAAATTAAAGGGATACACCTAGGAAAAGAAGATCAGTACTATCATCAACAAATTAGTACTATTTGTTGATGATATTATTCTATACCTAGAAGACCCAAAAAGTTCCACCAGAAAACTTGTAGAATTAGTAAATGAATTCAGCAATGTAGCAGGATATAAAATCAACATGCATAAATCAAATTCATTTCTATATTTCCACAACACATTCTCAGAAAGGGAAACAAGGAAAACTACCCCATTTACAATAGCCTCAAAAAAATAAAATACTTGGGAATCAAATATTTTAATGAAAGAAGTGAAAGATCTATATAATAAAACTAGAGAACTCTAAAGAAAGAAATCAAAGAAGACCTTAAAAATGAAAAGATCTACTTTGATCTTGGATAGGCAGAATTAATATTATCATAGAAATAGAAAAAGCAGTGATGAAATTCATCTGGAAAACTAAGAGACCCAGAA